ATTTAATAGACCTATGAGTTTATGGTGAATGTTCAATTGGGCCCAAGAAAAAATATGAAAGATCTCTTTCAATGTGCCTAGACCACTTGGTAAAGTAATGAAGGCATCCACATGGTTAAACATTGCATTCATTCAAGTAGACATTGTGGAGACCTGTAGTTCCTTTTTAATTATTTTCCAATGATGTCCCCTTGTGCTAAAGCTTTGGGGACGACCCCTAAAACTTAACTACCTCATAAAAATACAGTTATTGACACATCTCCTATTAACCCAAGACTGCCTCTCCTATACACTAAATGAATTTTTCTCTCAGCTAGCACCTGAACAAGATGATTTTTTAATTCTAACAACTCCTTTTCTTTTCCAAGATTAGATCTACCGAAAACACAAATATTTCTTATTTGATGACTTAAGGAACTTTTCATTTCTACACACTTCTATATTTATTGAATGTATGGGTTGAGTAGCCAGTCGTTTTGCACGACGCTTCTTTGCAAAAGTGCTTTTACCTGTTCCAGGCATGTGTGAAATGAAGTTAGAGGACTCACCTGATAATCGGACCTTTGCTTCAATCAACCAACGAATATCTTCAGGAATTCCATGATTCATTAATAATCTCAATCTTGCACATCTAGCACGGTAAATTTTTGTAATCGCATTCTGAGGCAGAGCGGGAAAATACTTTTTCAATTTTTCAAGATTAGTGTCCATTTTCAAATGAGAATTGGAAGAGAGATTCAAAGAATTGCACAGATATATACACAGATATCAGTAATTGTGGGAAACTGAAAGAACCGACTTAAGTCACGGAGTACCGTTATCCGCCATTTGACCGGGGTGAAGAAACTTGCAAAAATCACTCAAAAAGAAACAAAAATAAAATAAAATAAAATCAATATTTATATAAGAAACAAAAATAAAATAAAATAAAATCAATATTTATATAAGAAACAAAAATAAAGTAAAATAAAATAAAATAAAATCAATCTTTATATACAGGATCACCCAATTCAATAGAGTTATGTTCAACTGAAAAATTGTCAAAGTAAACTTTCAGACGATGTCCATTTACCTTGAAAACATTGCCATTCTTTGGATTCTCGATGTCATAGGCCCCATATGGATACACATGTTTCACAATAAAAGGACCACTCCATCTTGATCTTAATTTTCCAGGAAATAAATGCAGTCGAGAATTATAAAGCAAGACTTTTTGACCAACATTGAAGGTTTTTCTATGTATTTTCTTGTCATGAAATTCTTTTATTCTTGCTTTATGAATTCTTGAATTTTCATATGCATCATTTCTTATTTCCTCAAGCTCATTTATTTGTAATTTTCGCAGTTGACTAGCATCATCCAGATTTGAATTGAAAGCTTTAATAGCCCAATAAGCTTTATGTTCAAGTTCCACAGGCAAGTGACAAGGTTTTCCATAGACTAGTCTATAAGGTGACATACCTAATGATGTTTTAAAAGCAGTTCGATAGGCCCATAGTGCATCATTAAGTCTTAAAGACCAGTCCTTTCGATTAGGGTTCACTGTTTTTTCCAAGATTTGTTTGATCTCCCTATTAGCAAGTTCTACTTGTCCACTTGTTTGAGGGTGATAAGGGGTGGCAACTTTGTGTGTGATTCCATATTTCTTCATTAAAGACTCAAATGGCTTGTTGCAGAAATGTGTTCCACCATCACTTATTATGGCTAGAGGGACTTAAGCTAACCCGGTAAAAAACTCAGACCAACCAAAGATAAAACACGAGTAAAAAAACTTATCGACTTCTTGAAAAACAATTAGTCAAAATAAGGTTGCTTTGATTATTTTTAATTTTTTTTAGGTTTGCCAAGTTGACCTTCATAACCAGTGACTCGAATTTTGTATTAGGTTGTTTCCAAAGTTAGGTTTTAAAATTATAATAATAACTACTTTTATTCATGCGTTGACTCGAGTTAACCCATGTTGACCCTTCTGATAAGTGACTTGGATCTTACCTTAGTTGACATCTGAGTAGGGTTTTAAAATTATGATAATAATATTTTTTATTTTTATATTAATCCATGTCAACCTGGGTTGACCTTCTTG